GAATGGGGAGAGAGTTAGAAACATCAAATGAGAGAGAAACATCCATCAGCTGCCTCCTGCACGGCCTTCACTGGGGATGTGCCCGCAACCAAGGTACATGCCCTTGACTGGAATCGAACCTGAGACCCTACAGTCTGCAGGCCGACGCTCTATCCACTGAGCCACACTGGTTTCGGCCCATTGATTTTTAGAGGGGAAGAGACGGAGAGAGAGAGAAGCATCATTGATGTGAGACAGACCCATTGATTGGATGCACCCCAACCAGAGCCAGGGAACGAGCCAGCCACCGAGGTACATACCCCCTTGACAGGAATCGAACCCAGGACCCTTCAGCCCATGGACTGACGCTCTATCCACAGAGCCACACCGGACAGGGTAGGTTTCCACTCATTAGTTGCTGATTGTGGAGAAGGAACCCTGAAGGAAGACCAGGGTACGTGGAGGGGGGGTGCAGGGTCCTGGGGGTCCAGGGAGTGGCCAACCCAGCGCCTCCAGCCGGACAGCTGCCGTGGAACATCTCAGCATCCCCCTCCCGACACACCTTCCGAGCAGGGAGCCCGGGAGGCGAACACGGGAGGGCCAGGTCTGGCTGGCTGCTCCGCTGGGAATCCTGCCGGGCCAGCTGTTTCCCGGGAATACCCCGCCTCCTGCCCGGGACCCCCGCCAGGACCTCCAGTCAGCTCCCGGGCCTGCCGTGTCCCTGCCCCAGCCAGCTGCCTCTGGCTTCGCTAGGAGCCAGGCCCCACAGCTTTGAAATCAGCTGCCTCTCAGACCGACTTCCTTCTTCCCCAAAGATCTGAGACAGCTGGCGTGGCTCAGGGGTTAAGCATGGATCTAGGAACCAGGAGGTCAGGGTTCGATTCCCGGTCAGGGCACATGCCCGGGTTTTGGAGGCAGTCGATCCATGATTCTCTCTCATCATTGGTATTTCTCTCTCTCCCTCCCTCCTTCTTCCTTTCTCTCTCCATTTTCCTTCCTCTCTGAAGTCAATCCTATATAATAAAAGGCTAATATGCAAATTGTCCCCTCGACCAGGGGTTCAATTGGGAGTTTGCGGGGTCAGCCCACAACCACCTGCGGCCCCTTTCCCTGGTCGATCCCACCCCCAATAGCTCCCTGCACCCTGATTGGGGGTGGTGGGGCCAGCTTACCAACTGCCCACAGCCCCTCCTCCCAGCTGTGCACGAATTCATGCACCAGGCCTCTAGCAAAACTGTATTTTAAAAAAAGATCTGAGAAACATGAAAAGCTGTATTTTAAAAAAAGATCTGAGAAACACGAACGGAAGCGATGAGGCACTGCGTATATGCATGCTGCCCCAGCCCCACCCCCCACGTTTCTGACCACCTGCCCCGCCACCTCTTCCCCCATCTCCCCCCCACCTCCCAGCTCTGCCAGGGCCCGAGCAAGCGGACCCCACTCCACACCTGGGGACCACAGCTTCTCCCTCCTTTCGGAAGGGGTTAACGGAAGAGCCAGTTCGTTTCGCTCCGTTTATTATCAGCCACAAACCGGTTTCCATTCTGTGTGAGTCCCCGGAGGAAGCCACAACGTAACCCCAGCGGATGGGAACTCTGTTTTCTTCAGAGAAAAATTGGTAGTCCGCAGCCACTGTGTCAGAGTCTCTGGCTAGACAAAGGCCGCCCCCTGTGCCAGGCCGGCCGGGGTGGCTCAGCGGTGGAGCGTCAACCTAGGAACCAGGAGGTGAGGGTTCTATTCCCGGTCAGAGCACAGGTCGGGGTTGCGGGCTCGATCCCCAGCAGGGGGCATGAAGGAAGCAGCCGATCAATAATCCTCTCTCTCATCATGGATGTTTCTATCTTTCCCTCTCCCTTCCTCTCTGAAATCAATAAAAAAAAAAAATATCTTAAAATATAAAAACAAACAACTCCGCCCTTGCAACTGCCCTCCTTCCCTCCACCTCAAGCTGTCACCACACATGGGACATCTTTCAACTCCACACGGATTAGGTGGCGGGTGGGGTACGGAGCCCCCTTGGCACCTGCCCATGGGCCCGCTCAACCCTGCTGACGCCCAGAGCGGCACATGGCAGTCTCGTGCTCAACCTCAGCCTGGGCGCACTTGACTGATGATAGCATCTCCTTCCGCCTGCCGGGAGAGACCGGGTTGCAGGGACAGGGGAGGGCCCAGCCCTGGGCAGGGAGCAGGCGGGGGACCTCCACGGAGGGACCCTCCACAGCGACACCCTGACTGTGCACAATTTAATTTTTAAATTATTGATTTTTTTTTACGGACAAGAAGGGAGAGGGATAGAGAGTTAGAAACATCGATGCGAGAGAATCATCGACCAGCTGCCTCCTGCACACCCCCCACCACCGGAGATGTGCGTGCAACCAAGGTACATGCCCTTGACCGGGATCGAACCCGGGACCCTTCAGCGTGCAGGCCGAAGCTTTATCCACTGAGCCACACCAGCCAGGGCTGCAGCCAGGATCTGAATCCTGCCTGCACGTGCACGCCACTGCCTCTCTTCGCACCCAGACTTTCCCAGCTAAAAATATTACGCGCATCCCCGCTCCGAGAAAATGCGCTCACTCCGAAGGAAGAGCCTTGCTCGTCTCTAAAATTCATGGAAACAATTCGGACGGCGGGAAGCCAGTGCCGTTTCATACTCCAAGTCATTAAGTTCCGGGCGGTGGCGGTGGCGGCGGCGGCGGGGTTCTGTGAAGTCCAGAGAGTCTCAACTCCCACTTTTACACGCGGTCCTCCCTCTATGCTCACGAGTCTTCCTCCTGCCGCTTCAAATACTGCTGCTACTACTATTGCCTCTGAACGCCTCGTCCCCTCCCCGCCCGTCCCTGACCCATTCCGGGGCCAGGACTCTCGCTTACGGCTGGTGGACAGACAGAACACAACCCCAGATCACCCATGCATTCCCCACACTTTCCCCCTGCCCGCTCTTTCTTCCTTCCCACTGCAGGCCCATCAGAAGTTCTTTTCTCTTAGAGATAGTGGGAAGGAAGGGAGGAGGAGAGCCAGAGAGAGAGAGAGAGAGAAACATCCATGTGAGAGAGACCCACACACTGGTTGCCTCCTGCAGGTGCCCCATGCCAGGGCTGGGAATGCAGCTTGCAACCGAGGTACGTGTGCCCTTGACCGGAATCGAACCTGGGACCCTTCGGTCTGCAGGCTGACGCTCTATCCACTGAGCCACACCAGCCAGGGCTCTCGGATGATGATGATTTTTTTAAACGAAGGATCACTCTTCGGAGATCAACCCCGTCCACCAGCAGAAGCCCACCCCCCACCAGGGGTCCGGCCTCTGCAAATGCCACGCTCACACGCTGACCCTTCCTAGTCACAGGCGCGCCAAGGAAAGAGAAGAACCAGGCCGGCTTACGCGTTTGGAAGGCAGACCGCCTGCAGTGCCACCTGCACAGCACGCGGGGCCACGCGGACCCGCCCAGGCACAGGGGCCGGGACGCGGGTTTGACATCATCCCCGCACACCGTGCCCACGGTTTTTACTCTGAGAGCTGCTATTCCGCTTCTCCTGGGCTCCCAGGCCCTTCACCGCCCAGGAGTCATGGGGATTCCGGGTGCACACAGCCGTCCTCTCATGGGGGGGGTGGGGCTAAAGGTACACTATTGGCGAAGAACCAAGCCAGGAAAAGAAAGACAGAAAAGGAAGGAAGGAAGGAAGGAAGGAAGGAAGGAAGGAAGGAAGGAAGGAAGGAAGGAAGGAAGGAAAGAAGGAGGGAGGGAGGGAGGGAAGGTAGCCGAAGTAAGAAAGGAAGGAAGAAAGGAAGGAAGGAGGGAAGGAAGGAAAAAGGGAAGGAGGGAAGGAGGGAGGGAGGGAGGGAAGGAAAGAGGGAAGGAGGGAAGGAGGGAAGGAGGGAAGGAAGGAAGGAAGGAAGAAAGGAAGGAAGGAAGGAAACCCCTGACGCAGCCAACTCCACGCCGACATTTACAGGTCAGCCTTGCAGGCTCAGGTCTGTTCGGTTCAGTTCGGGTCCAGTTCTGCGGGTCCCGCTGGCTCCTGGCCCCCACCCCCTGGTTCCACCTCCATGAACTCAGAATTTCCAGGGTTTTGCGGCGACGCCGAACGCCACGGGCACGGGGGCTGCAGCATCTTGGAAAAGATTACGCTGCCTTCGAACCGGCCAACCACCCGGCCCCGCCCGCGGCGCCGGCAACATGTGCCCAGCTCCCGCGGTGCGGGCTCCAACGCCGGGCGGCCTGGAGCGGCCCCCGCGGCCCCGCCGCCCGGCCTCGGGGCCTGTGCAGAGCGCGGGGGCCATCCCCGCGCCACCGGCCGCGGGCGAGGCGCAGGGGGCCGGGCCCAGCCCGGCGAGAGGGGACGGTCGGGCCGGGGCCGGGGCCTCGCTCAGGGCGAATGGAAACCGCAGACCCAGCGGAGGGGAGTCCGTGCTCCCGGCCCCGGGGTGTCCGCGGCCCCGCCCCGGAGGAGCGCGCCGAGCCGGGGGCAGAGTCCGGGCGCGCGCCCCCTCCCCTCCCCACGCGGGGCCGGGGGAGGACCCGGGGCCGGGGGAGGACCGCAGCCGGGCATCCAAGGCTGGAGAGAAACTTGGGCTCCCCTCTCCTCCCGCTCACGGCCGCCTCCTCCGCCTCCCCACCCCCTTTTGTGCCTCCGCACCCCCGCACCCCCAAACTTCCCCGCGCAGGGGCAGGGGCCGGGGCTGGGGCTCCGGCGGCGGCGGGACAGGACGCAGCGGAGGGGGCGTCTCCGGAGGGGGAGGGGGCGGCGACCAGAGGGGCATCCGATGGGCAGCTGCCGGGGGGGGGGGGGGGGGGGGGCCTCTTCCGCCGCCCCCTGCTGCTCCGGGGACGCGGGGAGGCCCGGCCCGAGGCCCGGACGGAGGAGCGCGGGAGGCGCGCGGGGCGCCCCCCGTCGGTGCCCGGCGGCCACGTCAGAGCGGGACCGGGATGCGTGGGGCGCGGAGGGCCGGGCTCGGGGGCGGCGGGGACCGGGGATCGGGGCCCGGGGTGCGGGGGCCGGGCCGCGGCGGGCGCACTCACCTTCCTGCCGGCGCCCGCGGCCAGGGTGGAGCCCGCCCCGGAGGACATGTAGTAGGCGATGCCCAGCGCCCACAGCAGCGCGAAGCACAGCAGCAGCCGCGAGCGCCGCCGCATCCTCGCCCCTGGGCCGCCGGCCGCGGCGCCGCGTTCCCGGAGCAGCCTGGGCCGGCGGGCGGCGGCGGGAGGAGGCGGCGGCGCGCGGGCGGAGGGAGGAAGGGGCGGGCGCAGTGGCTCCGCCCCCGGCGCGCGCTCCCGGCCCCGCTCCCGGCCCCGGAGGCGCGCGGGGCGCCCGGATCCGCCCGGGCCCGAGCAGGAAGCGCGGCCTCGGAGGCGGCCGGAGGGGGCGGGTCAGGGAGCAAAGGGCGGCCAATCGGCGGGAGGAGGCGGGAGGAGGCGGCCAATCAACGGGAGGAGGTGGGAGGAGCGCGGTCCGCGCGCGCCCCCTGCTGTCGGCGTGAGTGACAGGTGGCCGCCTGGGCCCCGGGGGAAGCGCGCGCTCCCGGGCTCCCGGGCCCCCGGGCCCTGGGATTCCTGGTCCCCACGGCCTGGCGCTGCTCTGCGGACGTGGTGACCTCCAGGCCTTGGTCGGGGAGACCATCTCAAACCCCTCCTTTCTCTCTCTCTCTCTCTCTCTCTCTCTCTCTCTCTCTTTATTGATTTCAGAGAGGAAGGGAGAGAGAGAGGGACAGAAACATCAAGGAGGAGATAGAATCGTGGATGGGCTGCCTCCTGCACGCCCCACCCCTGGGGATCGACCCTGCAGCCTGGGCGCGGGGGCTCACCCAACTGAGTCTTTTTGCTGCACCCCCCTCCCTCCTGCACCTCACTTCCCAGCAGCGACCGGCGGTTTTGTCACTGATCTTGCAGCCACAGGTTCCTGATCCTCTGGGGTCCGTTGTCTTGATCCACTTGGGCCCAGGTGAGGACCTGGGACCTTTTCCAGGAGCGAACACAGCGCCTCCCAGCAGGGTGTTGCATGTCCGAGGTGTGTGTGTGTGTGTGTGTGTGTGTGTGTGTGTGTGTGTGTGTGTTTAGGAAACGTGAAAGGAGGGAAAGGGAAACAACGTGTCCCTGTGTCTTTAAATCCTTTTCAGCAATTGCTCTCTTAAAAGAAGAAGCAAGAGTTTGCACACTCCCCATCTAGAAAGAGGCGACAAGACGGATGGGTCTGGTCACAGAATCTCTGTAACCTTGACGCTGCCCTTCTCCGCGCCGTTCCGAGCGGCTCCCAGACACGAAATAGATGTGACTGAGCACTTGATATTTTAAACTGATTTGGGAGCCCCCCTCCTCCCCCGCCATTACCCCCCGCATCTGAGTCTGCTCACATCCTCAACGAAACACCAGCACAAGCCAACTGGCCTTCCGCGCTCACTGCTCCCGAATGCCGGGAACTGAACTCCACGTTACTTGTTCGACAGAAGGAAAGACTTCCAATTCCAGCCGCGCTCCCTCCCACGGGGTCCAAGGGCTTACATCCCTCTCCACAGGGCAAGGCCCCTCGCCAAGAGCTGAAAGCCGCTCGCAGCTTGCCTGGCCTTTATTCGGCTTCAGAGAGAGGAGAGGTCTGAAGGGTGGTGGGGCAGGAGGTGGCCGCCTGGAGGACACCTGGCATCCGGGAAAGTCAGAGAAACGGAGAGAGGGCCGGTCTGAAAACCAGGAAAGCACCCCCGACAGCACCGTGCCCGCCACCCAGCGTGAACCGAAGGAGCTGCCCCGGTGGACTGGAGGAGAGAAAATCACCGTCCTCACCGCAGAGACTTAACGGTCGCGGCGGAGTCCGTAAAACACCTCTCCGGTGATGATTTAGTGCTGGTCCTGCCGGGATGCCGGGCTTTTAGGAAACAGACAGCCGGCAGCGAGAAGCAGCCGCAGCTTCTCCCGTTTTTCACTTTTATTTATTTACTTACGAGAGGCCCAGTGCACGAAATCGATGCATGGGTAGGGTCCCTAGCGGCTGCTGCTGGCCGACCACGGGGGCCTGCTGCTTCCACCGGCTGGTGTGGGTGGGGCCGGCCAGGGGGAGGGGCCACAGCAGTTGACCGGTCCTGCCCCGTTATCGAACTTCTGGTCCAATTTGCATATTAGGCTTTATTATACAGGCATCTCCCCCATTTTTAAAAATATATATTTTTTATTGATTTTTTTACAGAGAGGAAGGGAGAGAGAAAGACAGAAACATCGACAAGAGAGAGTCATCAATCAGCTGCCTCTTGCACACCCCCCACTGGGGACGTGTCTGCAACCAAGGTACATGCCCTTGACCGAAACCGGTGTGGCTCAGTGGATAGAGCGTCAGCCTGCGGACTCAAGGGTCCCAGGTTTGATTCCAGTCAGGGGCATGTACCTTAGTTGCAGGCACATCCCCAGTAGGGAGCGTGCAGGAGGCAGCTGATGGATGTTCCTAACTCTCTCTCTCCTTCTCCCTTCCTCTCTCTAAAAAAAAAAAAAAAAAAAAAAAAAAAAAAAAAAAAAAAAATCAGTAAAATATGTTTTAAAAAATAAAAAAGTAATAAAAACATAAATCCCATCCTTTGGAGGGGAAGAAAGAGACAGGTTTCGTAGGCTGTGGCCAGGCGTGCGTCTGTGTTCATGCCAGGGTTGTTGGAAAGCGGGTTTTACAACCTATAAATCCGTGTTAGCGAAGGACTGAGATGTGATCTGTTTTCCTCCCGCCCCTTGGCACGGATCAGGCTGTGCTTGCCCGGCGTGACTTGGCCGGGGACGCTGAGTGATAGCTCAATAGCGGAGGTCCCCGGCCTGTCCAAGCCCCATTTGTCTCATTTAGAAACAACATCAGCAATTGGCGCCCCGGGGCGGGGGACCTCTCCTCACACGTCCCAACCACTCCTGGGCATGGCCCTCCCTGTCCAGGGCCTGCTGTGCCCAGCCAGGTGGGCAGAGCCAGGGCCCAGGGGCGGGCACTAATGTCCTGCATCCGTGGCACCATCTGTGGCCCTGACATCGGCCCGGGGACTCGATGGAAGACCACGGAGGCAGGCCGCTTGCCCCCCAACAGCGTCTCCGTAGGAAACCCGCTCTGTTACAAGCAGCTGAAGGAAATCAATGGTTGCGACTCACACCCACACCAGAGGGCTGTGAACCCAGACGACAATGACACGAGATCAAGAAGACAGAGTCCCGCCAAAACCGGTGTGGCTCCGTGGATAGAGCATTGGCCCGCGGACCGAGGGGACCCCGGTTTGATTCCTATCAAGGGCATGTACCTTGGTTGTGGGCACATCCCCAGTGTGGGGTGTGCAGGAGGCAGCTGATTGGTGTTTCTAACTCTCTCTCCCTCTCCCTTCCTCTCTGTAAAAAAGCAATAAAATATATTTAAAAATAAGTAAGTAAAATAAATAAAGACAGAGTCCCGCCCGGCTGGCATGGCCAGTGGGTGAGCATACACGTGTGAACCAGAAGGTCACGGTGAAGTATGGTGGTATTCATACTTGGGTAAAAATAGCTGTCTGATATTTTAACCTTGCTGCTTTGGGTTCTGTACTCATTTAAAAGTTACTTGGATTTTCTGAACTCACGTATGCTATCCCGATCCTCCATGGATGGTGGTTTGAATGTCCCCTTGATTGTGATCTCACTGGCTGTCGAAGCACATTCTTGGGACCCAGGACAGATCGATTATCCCAAATGGCCTCAGCAGCTACAGAGAGTGCATTCCTGTTGACTCAGTGGTCCGGGAATCCGGACAGCACCATCATCCTAAATTGCCCCGATGCTCCCAGATAATGTGTTCCTGTCCATTCAGTGATTCGTAGATACTTTAGATCACTAACTTGCTCGGTTTCACTTCTGGAACATCGAGAAACAGGTTCCTCCTTCCAGACCCAGAGATGTAATCAGTACCTTTGTGATATTCTGCCCGTATAAGCCAGACGTGGCGAGCTGGCTGCGAGATCTGGAGCGCTTTTGCTCTCTCGTCTGCCACCGGCTTTTAATAAATGACTCCATAATTCCACTTTTTTTTTTTTTGAGGCGTCCTTTGTAAGATGGTGGTTACATCACAATAAGGGTTCAATTCCAGTCAGGGCACGTACCAGGGTTTTGTGCTTGATCCCGTAGTGGGGGACGTGCAGGAGACAGCCAATCCATGATTCTATCTCATCATGGATATTTCTCTCTCTCTCTCTCTCTCTCTCTCTCTCTCTCTCTCTCTCTCTTTCTCTCCTCACCTCTCCCTTCCTCTCTGAAATCATTTTTTAAAAATAATTCGGTGCCCTGACTAGGTTGGCTCAGTGGATAGAGCGTCAGCCTGCGGACTGAAGGGTCCCAGGTTCGATTCTGGTCAAGGGCATGTATAATACCTTGGTTTCGGGCACATTCCCAGTAGGGGGTGTGCAGGAGGCAACTGGTCAATGTTTCTCTCTCATGGATGTTTCTAACTCTCTATCCCTCTCCCTTCCTCTCTGTAAAAAACAAACAAAACAAAACAAATAAAATTTATGAAAAAACACATAAATAATGTGGGTATGGGGGTCCCAGGCAGACACACTGGTCAGGACGCCTGGGATGGGGTCCAGGGTGGGGACTCACTCCACGCCCTGGGGGGGTCAGAGGAGAAGCGAGGTGGGGGGGGGGAGGGGAGAAGCTGCGCGAAGGAAGCCGAAAGGACGCTCCCCCTGGTGATGGGTCCGTCCACACGCCACGGGCGCACAGACAGCGCCTGAGCCCACAGGGGACGCGAGACCCGCCCCGTGGGCATCCGATTCGGACAGAGGCTGCGTTGTTCACACAGGACAAACGGTCCAGGGCTCCGTCCCAGGATGCTCCTCCCTGGTGCCGTGGAGCCGGAGCAACAAGATGTCATTGTTTTTGCACAGCCGAGTGGCGAGGACAAAACATGAACTCAGTGACAGACGCCAGGAGGCGCTCAAGGCTGCCCCCTGTGGGTGGGAATGAGAACGGGCGTGGTGGGGCTGGAGAGCCAGATGGCCATCTCCCTGTCAAAAATTTGCAATGAATGTCAACATTTTAGTTTTTAATTAAATGAATGAATGAATTGTGTGTGTGTTTTTTATTGATGTCAGAGAGGATGGGAGAGGGAGAGGGAGAGAGACACGCATCCGTGGTGAGAGAGAATCATGGATCGGCTGCCT